TATTTATATATATAAACATAATGTGTGTTTAAAATTACCGTGTTACTCTTTCTGCCTAGTTCAAGTAGCTCGATGATCGGTCGTTTCTTTTACATGCGTTTATTATGTATCAGCATTAACTCGTTTCGCGCGATACAACAGAACGAACGAAGAAATTGAACTAAACAACGCGGATTTTATAACATGTTTCTTCTTATTTGTTTGTTTTTCTTCTTCCTCTACTTCTTCTTCTTTTTTTCGTCGTTCTTTCAACTACTCAGCGTTGATTCGAAACATTAATCGACCACATGCGATACTGTCGGCCTACGTGACCACACTGGTTCGTTGTCGTGATCGAAACTCGACGACTCTATGACTTCTTTCATTGGTTATCATATGTCACTTGTTATCAGCCAATCATAGAACGCTACGGGTGCGGTTCGTACATCCAAAGTTCGTCGACCGTATGAATACCTGTCATCTGATTGGTTGATAAATTATATGGGTTCAACCAATCAAAATTTTGGCGGGTTTAAAACTTTTTGAATTTTATTCTTCCTGCATTTCCCTGTGTGTTCGACATTTAAAATTCTATAAGAGAAACAGATATATATATAAGGTCTAACCCCTTTATGCTTGTTTTTCTCTTTACATTTAATTTAGAAATCTTTTCCTTATGCATGTGTGTGAACGTATATGAGCCTAGTATATTTAAAGACTATCGTTAATATGTTTAACACATATTTAAAAATGATACAATTTAAATGATATTATTTATTTGTTTGGCCATTTAATATTATACACACACTCCCTATTGTACACACTTACGTTTACATTTCTCTTAATTACATTTAAATTTAATATAATAAAATTTATTTATAATTGTTACAACTATTTTAATATATTTTCTTAAAAATGTTCTTATTGATAGTATTTTTCTTTTTTGATTTTTAATTCAGTAACATTATGTCTTATTATTGCATACGTTCTTATAATAATAACACAATTTTCATTGTAGCACTTTTAATTTTAATCTTCATGCCACTTTCAGTTTGTCTCGAACGATCAATCTGTTACTAAAGAAAATTAGTTAATATTTATTTACACAATATAAATATAGAAGCATATTACTAAGATTGAAATTCAACGTTTATCATGAAATCATGAATAACGTTTGAAAGAGTCTTTAATAAAAATTTCATTGTACCGTTATATTTAATTAGGATATCATTTATATATATAAATAAAAAAATTCTTTTTTCTTTCTTCTCTCTTGTTTGTTTTTTTTTTTTCTACAAAGACCTTTCAATTGACATTTATACATTTGGCAAGATTAGTATTACGATTTCATGAGAAAGTTGATGTTTCCCTTGATATAATAATTTACTTATTAAAGAAAAATCAAACACAAACGCGCTTAATAATACTTATACCGATAATTGACACAAGTTAGAGAAATATTGGTGTTTGTTTATCATTTTTATGCAGCAATAGATTGATTTATACTAAATAATTTATATGTTACACTGATTATAAAAAAAACAAACTATAACAGATTCTTAAACTCTATTGTGCACTATAAAAATTGCTTAAATTTATATTTATATGTATATATATATATATAATTATTATATATAAAACTATTTGAAATGTGATATTAATTTTCTCCCATTCCATCGCTCTCCGTAACTAGAGCACGTTCCAATATAACACGGCCTTCCTTGTATCGTTGATTATCATCTGTCGCAAACTCATAAACCCACCCAAGTTTAGCATCACAGTTTTTACAGCTTACATCTCGTACCATGTGACGTCCAGTTAACATCACTCTATCTTGTACCTCGCTGCACAACATGTAATAATAATATTAAATCAATTCATATAACAATAATTGAATTAAATAGCGAAAATAACAATGATCATTTTTAATAAGCGTTATATGTTATTATATCGTATAAGCTTGACTTACTTCAAATATCATCGAACAATGAATCTCAAAGCATATACATAATTTATGTAATCAAAAATATTACTAATTAACAAAATGCTAATAATAGCAATGATGTTGTAATACAAAATAATAATAATATCAAGAGAGAGAGAGAGAGAGATAAGGTTATACTTTAATACCTGTAATTAAGGTTGACAACTTTGTTAAAAAGAAAAGCTCGACCAGTTGCACCAGTGAAACGAGTACTGATCAGCTGTCCTCGGTTTGTTAAATTAGTGTCGCACGAAGCGCAAGAAAAAAGACGCGTGCCACCAATGTGTTCCAAAAATATTACCCCCATTTTAAAGAGTATGCTTTTATCACGAAGAAAAAAAAATAACACTTTATGAATATTTGGTCAATTTTTCAATATATCTCGAAACGTACAAACAAAGAGTAATAATAATAATCATACAGATGTTGCAACCAAACACTCGACACATTTACACTACGCTAAATATATACGGTGATCTGCTTTAACACGCTTATGACAATATACTCGCGCACATATGATTGACCAAGTACGATAGCATTAGTTCCAATTCGAAACCCAGATGGCGCGTCACTCTGATTTGTTATTTTTTTTAAATTTTAAAAATTTCATAATAATATTCAATAATCATTCTATTTTGTTTATCTATTAAAAATGTTATTATAATTTATTTGGTACATAAATTATTGTAGATATTATATTTACAAATTTTTGTATTAAATAACATATATGATAGAAAAATAATAACATTAATTTTAATTTTAATTTTTTAAGAGATTATGTTAAATTTTATCTTTGAATAATAAAAAAAAGGAAATTCTATATAAATATATATATATATATATATATATATATATATATATACATATATATAAAAACATAATTTTACATAGATATTTGATAATAATCTTTATTACATCAAAATATTGTATCTTTATTATTCATATATAAATGGTATACAATATGTTACAAATACGTATGTATATGTATGTATACATATTTATGTAAATTATATATATATATATATATATTTTTTAATAATTATTATTCTTTTTTTCATTTTATATATATATATATAGAGCTAGGTACATAGATCTTTGTGCAGTAAAATTGAAAACAAATTTTTTTTTATAACATTTCTTTATAAATCAGAGCCTATTTTTTGTTGTTTTTTTGTTGTTGTTGTTGTTTAAATCCTAGGCTACTTATTTCTTTCTTTTCTTATATATATATATATATATATATAGAGTTTTTTCTTTTTTCTTTTCAAACTTTGTCAATAAAGTACCAACTGATTAGTACTTAATACAAGTAGAAAAGTTTGGAACGTTTTATTAATGTAAAAGCCAGAAAAAGTGGTCGCAAGATTAAAGAAATTAATTGAAAAAATATATAATATGTATGTATTATTGTTGGTCATCATTATTTAATTGTTATATATTCACTTCTCGTCTCGAAAGGCACATTTGAAATATAATCAGTACGCTCTCTTATTTGCGTTAACATTTTTCTACACCATTTAAATCTTCCTAACGATCTCTCAATAATAATAATAATTAATAATAATAATAATAATAATAATAATAATAATGGGATTAATAATATTAATAATAATAATAATAATTTCAATAAAATAAAATGATATAAAGACAGATAGATTTAAAAGGAAGAGAAAGAGAGGGAGAGAAAGAAAGAGAAAAAAAAAAGAGAGAATGTGTGAGAAATAGAGATAGAGATAGAGATAGAGATAAAGATAGAGATAGAGAAATAGAAAGAGAGAAAACACAATAGAAAAATATAAAATATAAAAATTTCTCTAGCCAAAATCACAGACGAATCTCTAACTTTCTCCAACAAAGCACAGAGTCGCATTTTCATGGCCATAACATTAAATATAATATAATAATTATTAGTCGATATAAATATTATAAATATGTAATATATATATATATATATAAATGTATTTATGTATTGTATGTATGTATGTATGTGTGTGTGTGTGTTGTTTATATTTTTATACGTAAATAGTCTTATTATTTAATCGCACGTCTACATGCATATGTACATGTTCCTTAATATCGCAGATATATTTTATTACACATTTCCAAATTTTAATATCTTTTCTGCGTTTGATATTCAACCATTCATGTTATCATCGAGCATGTATATTTACATGTAACACGTGTCCTATACACACATGCAAAGAGTTATATTATATTTTATATCGTGTGTGTATATATATATATGTATATATATATGTATGTAATATTTAATTTGATTACATCGATTTTTGATGTTCTGGTCATGAAGAATATCTTTTTTTCTTTTTCTTTCTTTCTTTCTTTCTTTTATCGATTTGTTTTTCCATAATACTGTACCTATTCCTATATACATCTTACTTTTACAGTAACGTAAAGAAAATTTAATATGGGAAAAGTAATCGTTTAGAAATTAAACCAATTGAATAATAATAATAATAATAATAATAATAATAATAATAATAATAATAATAATAATAGTTAAAAAAATAAGAGATGAAAGTTAAAATTTGAAAAGAAAAATAAAAAATAAAAAGAAACAAAAAATAAGAGAAGAAGATACTGAAAATAAAAAGCAACGATTGTGCCATTACGTTGCTATTCTTGTTGGTTGTTGTTATTATTATTATTATTATTATTATTATTCAACGACATGTGAAAATATTTATATATATATTATATTAATATTCTAAATTCTTATCCTTCGATAGATTTTTCTTTCATTCTTCATCTTAATTCGCCATATAAGAAAAATAGCATCATTATTCGAATTTTATTCTAACAATAAGTCAGTACTATACTTCAGTCAGCTTAGGTACATACATAAAATGTCTCGTCTGTATATCTGTCCCATTTTATATAACTTATCATCTTTTATGTTATGATATAATATATATATATATAAACCGAGGACTTTTTTTTTTCTTTCTTTCTTTTTCTTTTAAAGGCAACATATTACGATATATCCTTGCTTATATTCTAACGATACAATTTATAAAGATATATATATATATATATATATATATATATATATATATATATATCATTTTCTTTTTGTAATAAAGTTTATAAGAATCTTATTATATGAAACGTGAATAAAAATTGTCGCATTTACTTTCATCATCTGTGTAAATGCCTCATCAACGTAACTTTCTTTCTTTTTCTTTTTTTTCTTATAACGTTATCAAAATATTTCCCAATAAAAGATTAATTAACACGAAAACGTTATACAACTAATATAGAATAATAATTACGTGTCAACTAAAAATGATATTAACAAAATAAAACAAAACAAAACGAAATATTTAAAAAGAACATTTTTCTTCTTATAAAATATGAATGTAACATTATTACTCCTTTCTGTTGTTTCTTTTAAAACTATATATATGAAAAACATTATCTAATTCAACCACTATATATATATATATATATATATATATTATAATAATGGAGTAATTTAATGGAATCAAAAAAGTTTTTGATTTTTGTCCTCTCTATACATTTAAAGTGATTGAAATTTTCAATAATTATAGTGGTTGTGTTTATATTAATAAGAGAATATATAATTTTAGTAATGAATCTTTAAAAATAGTAACAATAATAATAATAATAATTAATAATCATATCAATAATAATAACCATAATATTAATAATAATGATAACGTTAAAAATATTCTGATAATATTTTCTTTTTTCATATTTTGTTTGCTTTTCTTTCTTTCTTTCTTTCTTTCTTTTTTTTATGATAATAGCACTTATATCAGAAACCTTAAAAATCCTGCGGTGATAATAAATTATATCGATGATAAAATTTAATAACACCTTGTTCCTTGTAGCACAAATTATTTGACTTATGCATGACTGCGGGGGGTTCAATAGTTAAGCATTATTTTTGGTAAGTTTTGTTCTATTGGCGGCAACTGCTGCAAGACATGCCAATGCTTCCAGATCCGGTGGTGCACACCATGCTATCAATATTTGTAAAAATAATTAAATTCTCTTCTTAACTAAAAAAACAATTTATGTCAAAGTAAAAGTGCATAAATATTATATACATATCAAATATGTATATATAAGTAAATGTGAGAACAAGATAAACATTTTAAAAAGCATTTAAAATAAGAATCGTGTTATTTGTAATTCATTAAATGGCTCTCTTTCTTTTCTTGTCTTTTCTTTTTCCTGATAAACATGATAACAAAATATTGTGTTTATATTATATTTTATATTATATCAACAAAGTATTTAAATTCTTTGAGAAATTGTCTTTTACTAATATTGTAGTTGATAAAAATATTAAGATAGCGTAGAAAATATAAGAAAAATAGAAATAAAAAATAAAATTTACTATCGTTAATGATACAAGTTTTAAATAAGAATATTTCTCAATGAATTTTAATGGAGCCTTTAATGTTATTATAATAGTACCAGATGTATGATATTATTTTGATGAAATCGTACTTACTCTTATTTATTTCTTGATTTCCAGGCATATTAGAAGTAATAGTTGTCGTCGTTGTCGTTGCTGCTGCATTACGAGTAATACTTTGCTTACGTGCTTTCCTTTTTTGACTTCCTACCAAATGTGACTTTTCACCGTCTTCTAGAATTTCATTTGTAGCATGTAATCTATTTTTATTATTTTGTTTATTAGATTGACCGCTATTGGAATTACCGTGGCACCATTTATTTGTATTTAATTTTTGCAAAACTTTTTTCTTGTTTATACGCTGTAGCTTTTTCTTTTCTTGAAATTCTTCTAAACTTAAGGAAGGTAAAGCTTCAATTTTTTTCTCCAAATTAAAATCCCTATAACGCAAAAATAGATCTATTCTATTATTATGTTCTTGTTGATATCTCAAAGAAAATAATACAATTATCATTGTTTTATTTGATCACACTTACTCAGCACGAAATCTTTTACGTGTTGTCCAAGGTCCAAAATCTAATTCACTTTCTGCACCTTCTGTTTCAGTTTCTTCAGGCTTAGAAGCTTCCATATTTCCTTCAGCACTTTAATTAAATTCTAACGTTATTTTAATATTACAAATCAATTTAAATAATATTGAAATATTTTAGATTTAAAGTTTTACCTTTCTACTAAATGTTCTAATTCACCACGTGAACTATTTCCACCTTCGCTACTCAAAGAATCAGTTTTTTCACTAACATTGGAAGATATGGAATTTCTTCTTTCATTTACTTGCTCTTCGGAACTAATAATATCAACAATTTTAATTAGAAAACTATCATTACTATGTAAAACTGTTATTACTATTATAACAATGTTACTGAATGCAACTTTATACCTATACGACAACGACGACGACGTAGTTGACTTTTTTCTTTTATTATTTTGTCCAGATGGTCCATTGTGCCTAATTTGTTCAGCTAAAAACTTTTGATACCGTAATCCTTTGCACGTTCTTTCACCTCTATAATTATTTTCTTCAGAATTAGCATTTGAGTCCAAGAACGAGTTGG